GGGGCCCAAAAAAAAAATTTCCGGACCCTAACCCCTCCCCCCCCCCCCCCCCCCCCGGCAGGGGTGTGATTTTTTTTTTTTTTGAATATTTTCGTACAGGCTTTCTTTTGGCTTTCTCCTTCTCCATTGCGTGTGCTTGCGTGTGGTGGTGTTTACGGCACGAGTGCAAGCAGGACCTTGTTACTAGGAAGGTGTAGATTGCTACTTCATGTACTGAAATAAGCTGTGATGGGCTGGGGACACTTCTTGTTTGGTTTTCAAGTCTTGAAGTACAGCAGTAGTGCTTGGGGACAACCCCTCAGCTACAAGTAACTTAGAACTTCTCTAGCCTCTGCGACAAGTCCACGACATTTGACCTTGGTCAAATGTGGCGAAATGACACAACCAAATGACACATACCCATGCGTCGAAACGTCATCATTCCAAACTTGCTCAAGCCGGCAACATACCGAAGAGGGGCTGTCGATGAGCCTACGGCGGTGGAATCACCTTCGCCACGTGCAACATCCATCCACAAATAATAGCAATTTGTCTTGCATGGTACTTACTATTCACTCCCCGAAGCCCCTCCACCTCCCTCAACAAGACTAAACCGCCGTTTCTTCGAGCGCTTTCGCGTTGAGCGCCTTCGCCCTTCATCCTCTTCCCCCCTCACCCCCACCCCCCCCTCCTTCTCCTCCTGTTCCTCCTCCTCCTCCTCCTCCTCCTCCTCCTCCTCCTCCTCTTCCGACCCCGAGCTCTCATCTTCAACCGAGTCCCCCGTCTCCGCTGAGAACTCGTCTGAGAGTGACCCGTCTGTACCATCAACCCCCTCCGCCTCCGGCGAGACCTTACGGCGTGCTACGGGGGCTTTGCCAGCCGTACTCTTCTGGTGTGGGACCTTTCGGCGCGTGACGGGGGCTCTGACAGCCGTACCCTTGCCCTTTAGCTTTCCCACCACCGCCGCCTTCTCAGTCTCGCCTACGGCAAAGCTCTTCGTGAACTTCGCAGTGTTCGGATCTGTTTTGCTCAGCTCCAACGAAGTGGCATGCTCCTGGTCTACGTGGTGGGACATGGAGTACTTCCACACCCACTTTTTCAGGGCTGCAAAACAAGCACTTCAGGGGTACGTTGGTGCAAGGTGTAGAAGTCGTGAACTTCGACGCCGCTTTTAGGCCGTTAGCAACGAGACTTGTTCGCGAGTCCAACTTGGGCGCAAGAGAACAGTTGGAGTGTATCTGAGGCACAGCCTTCACCGTCTTTGCTTCGACAACCCACGTCTTGCACTTCTCCCCAATGTCCCCGCCACAAAAGCCGCACGTGTTGCGCTGCCGTCGGTCCTGTGGGAGCGGCAGTACCATCAACAGAAACACGTTCAAAACAAAACGTTGTCATCGTTCCTGCAGGTATGTCCAACTTGGAACATCAGGCAGTCCTTTGAACTCACAGAAACAGAAACAAAGTGCACTTGCTTGCGAGCGTCTTACCTCATCCTGAAGGATGTGTCCCCCCATGTGCTGCAGCAGTAGCTTCGCGGACACTTCCGAGAAACACAGCGGGCACTCCACTTTCCCATCCACAGAAGCTGCCGGAACTTCCTCCGCCCGGAGAGCCCCGCCCGCCGTGCAAGTGAGGTTGTCATGAAGAGGAAGAGGGGCGACTTGGTTGCGTGGTGGTGGTCGCACGTCAGGAACCGCCGCCCAGCCTTGCACCCTTTCCACTTCAGCTTGAAACACGTGCTGTGTGGTGATCAACTCGTCCATGCTGAACACGTACGTCTGCTTGCCCATCTCCAACGTCGGGTCCAGTTCCTCGACAAGGGCAAGAGAGCAGCTGTAAGTAGTCGCTGTGTGCAGCTTTCGGTTCTCCCACTCAAACGTCGAACCATCGCCGTCACCTCCGACCAGCCTCATCCTCATTAGCTTCCCTTTGACCACCTGACCATCTGCGGCCTCGCCGCCAGCTGCTGGTGGCGCAGATACGACTATTTAGAACCCCGAGAGAGTAGCTCACGGGTTGGTGACGTCCTGCGCGAAGCCTGAATAGCGCCGCAAACGGGGAGCCGATCTGCAACGCTGTGCCCGAGTCATCCAAGCAAGTGCTACCCTCGGCCAGGCGTCCACCTGCCCGCGTCGTGAACGCCCGCACACGTGCGAGCCGATCTCTGGAGGCCTTGCCGGCGTGAGGCCCAGTATACTCTTCATCCGCGGAGGCCTTGAAGATCTATCATTGACGAAAAATTACACCGAAAGATACGCGCCGTGGCCGACAAACAGCAGGGCACGTGTAAAATAGAGTTCGGGATCAGGTTTGCTTGCATCTGCGTGTACTGCGACGGTGCATGATTGACTATTCCAACAGGTTGATTCCAACCAAGTTCTACGTTAGACATAATTTGCTTCAGTCCATCGACAAAGCACGCCCAAAAACGTTGTGCGCAAGATGGTTGGTGGTGCGGTCACATGGTGTTCACTGGGCGAATATTTGTTGCTTGGCCAAGTTGGGAAAGAAAAGTCCTTCGCACCTTCTTCGCGCCCACTTGCACAAATGGGCTGTGGGTAGACGAGCTTGACTCTTCTCCCTCCGTGTCCAGCACCTCTCGGAGTTCAGCGTTGTCGGAGTCCCCGCCACCGTCACTTGGCGATGCTGCCTGGCCGACGACACCCTCCTCCTCGTCACATGCGTCGGTGCCGTCTTCGGCCCGCACGCCAGGCATTTCTTTGTCGGTTCTGGAGGGGGGGTGCGGGAATGGTGGGCAGTTGCATTCAGAACAGTGTGACAGGTATCCGCGACCCTTGATAAACACCAATTGTTTCCAGTTCTGCAGAGGCGCGAATATCCCCGTGGCACACAGCCTTGTGGGGGGTGCCGGTCTGCATTTCGCGCATTTTTGTTCTCACACGTTGTCACAAGTTGTCATGCTGCTCAGCTACCGCTGCGGCTTCTGCCTCTGCTGTTGAGGCTCCCGCTACTGCTGCTTCCAGTTACATGGGAAGTAGCACAACACACACGCAGCTGCCGCTGCCAGCTACACGGGCAGCAGTACAACCACGTTTGGTGTGTACAACATGACGGCAGTTGCATCGCGAGGGCTCCGCATTCGCGCACTCTTGGTTGCGTCCAACCTTGGTGTGTGTTTTTGTGTGTGTTGTTCTTGCTATTGCTGCTGCTGCTGCTGCTGCTGCTGCTGCTGCTGCTGCTGCTGCTGCTGCGAGGCAGATTATACTATAGTGCAACCAAGGCAATCTCACAAAATGGCCCTCATTCCTCTACACTCACTCTTCGTGCTTGTGCGAAGCCTCATGCTGCAAGGCAGTGCCCTCGTCGACTCCTGAACCGTCGCCGAAGTTGTGTCCGCAGCGGCAAACAAGCTCCATGCCATCCGCTCGCTCTCGGCAGACGCGGTTTAGCCCAGCCGTCTTGTCGAAGGGGGTTGTTGATAGGAATCCCCACGGAGACTGTGCTCATCGTGACCACTCTCCCCAAGCTCTCGCTCTCTCTCGCTCCTCTGCTACGGACGGTACCGCGGCTGCGGGCTGCGGTATTCTGGAGCAGGGGCTACGTGGAATGTACGACCCCCTTGCATGAAATGTGCCCACTTTATATATAGGATTTACTATAGAATTGTTTATATAGGAAATTGTGTGGCATTTTTATGGGGGGGGGATGAGACCTTCGTACCACCCCCCCCCCC